TCCTGAGCTCAGTGCGTCAGCAGTCACGTTCTTTCCAAGTTTCAGCTTTCCACGTGTCTCCGTTTGATTGAAGCAAAGAGAACTATTTGAAAATATGTTCACCGAAAAGGTGTGCCCCTATGACATGTATCACCAAAGTAGAATTTTTCCAGAACTCAGCATGCGAATAGCTACTGTTAGTCAGTCAGCTACTCACGGTCCTCTATATATAATAAAAGTATAATTTTTTCTTTACGCAGCTCTCCATCAGGTACTTATTTGCCAAGTTTTTTTTAACTTTCATGCGCCATCTGTTTTACTGGATCAGAAAATTCGTGAAAATATGCCTTTTGAAAAATATATACCCTGAGCCGTTTTAACGGAAACGTACCTTTTTCTTCCGAAATCTATCCTTAGTGAACTACATGCTCACAACATTTCAATATTATAGGTTTGCCCTTCTCGCTGGTGAAAAAACATGTTTGGAAAAGCCGAAACACCCAATAGCAATGCCGGGAGGGGATGCACCATGAAAGCTGAATACTCCCTCAGCTCAGTAATATCATGTCACTTATACGTGTGTCAAGTTTCACCTTTTCATTTCTGTGCAATTCACCACGACAATTTTTTTTTCTCGAAACATTGCACCATGAAAAAATACCCCCAGGGGATTTATCAAAACTTAACATTTTCTTGAACTCCTTGTCTCAGTAGTCACATTGATGCAAAGTTTCAGCTTTCCATGTTTGTCAGTTTAACTGATGCAGAAAAATTAGTTGAAAACATCTCCCTTTGAAATTTTTGCCCCCAGGGCATTTACTTCAAAGTCTGAAGCATCCCAATAGGTAGTTATGAACCAAGTTTCATCTTTCCACACTAGCTCATTACGCCAGGACAAATAAAAATATTGAAAACGTCGGCTCACAAAAATATGCCCCCAGGGCATGAATCTAAAATTTTTTATTTTTCCTGAACTCGTTGTCTCAGTAGGCACGTCCATGCCAAGTTTCAGCTTTCCATGTCTCTCCGTTTTACTCAAGCAAAAATTATGTTATCGAGGCGGAATGAGTAACGGGACATGGAAGGCAAAAAAAGCTAAAAGAATGGCAAGGAGTAGCCTGGAATTGAACCCGGGCCTTCTGATTGCCATTTAGATATGCTACTACCACACCACCGAACCCAGCACATCCAGTCGGCTCTCTGAATGCCATCCTCATCTGTCACGAAATATATTCACGAAAAACTTTTCTCCCAAAAATTTGTACCCCCAGGGCATTTACCTCCTGCTATGGGCAGTTCATTTCATTCACTTGTTCCCAGAATTCCGGGAAATATTTACAACTCATCGCTGGCGCCATTTTTTCGTGGAAGGTTGATGCTATCCGTTGGGAACCTTACGATATGGTAACCCTTCTAGAACATGGTTAGAATTAGCGTCAGTCAGTCAGTCACGATCGTCCATATATATTAGATTCCAGCAGGGAAGAGATACAGCCGCTAAAACGCCCCAGTTAGCCCCCTCAGCATGATCCTGTTTTGCCCCACCTGAACACTGTTTATGATTAAGACACTGCCAAAAAAATTGGTGAGCTATCCAAGAAATGATGGCATCATGTAATAGTTCACATTTTCACCTTTATCCAAAAAATATCGGACGCCTCCAATGTTCCCATGTTCTCGTACTTTCTCTCGCTCTTCAAAAAACTCGAATCAAAATAAGAAAAGTCGTTATTTTCTTATTTTGCTCCTAGAGTGTTTACAAACTACTTAACAGAGCACCGCCGCGCTTGACAAATTGCACCCGTGGTGAGGAGTTATAATACAGTAAATATCCGATAGATATCGGGTATGGTTTGATTAAAATCTGAGTTGCCCCGTTTTACCCTTTGCCCCACCTTTCCCTACTCCATTTTCCTTCCCTGCACTCACCTCTCAAAAATAGATAGCATTTAGTCTCGTGACCGACGCCTGGTGGCGGACATTTTGGGACACCCATCACAGGGTGCGGTGAACTTGACTTCATTTTGAGCATGCCGGCACCTCATTCCCCAACGCGTGCCTCGTTATCAGGAAAATACCTTTCTGGAGTAGCGTATCCTATCGCTATTTGGGGCAAATCCAGGAATATTATCTCTGCTTGTTCCTCATAGGATGACCTCCAACAGAGATCATTTAGAGGGCTTTCGAAAAAATTATCATTACAATCGTATGCAATAGACATTTTATAAAGGGACATTTCCTGCTAAGAGTACCATATCGTAAGGTTCCCAACGGATAGCATCAACCTTCCACGAAAAAATGGCGCCAGCGATGAGTTGTAAATATTTCCCGGAATTCTGGGAACAAGTGAATGAAATGAACTGCCCATAGCAGGAGGTTGACCTCGTTGAACTTTTCCCTGCTGTTCTTGGACCTTCTTTTCGATTACCTCTATATGCATCAGAACTTGCCGAGTACTGGTGTTACTCACAGGCTTGGCATCCTTTAGCATTCCAAAGAAATGCCTCATACTCTCCATCATTTGGTCCCAAATGACCTTCGTTTTTCGGTTTCTCTCGTGCAGACATCTATAGTTCAAGGCATAAGCTCCGTTGTATTGGATACCCACCTCATTAACGACTTTCAGAGCTGAGGGAACCGGACTGACATCGGCGAACGTGAGCAAGAGATAATTGTTTTGGACCACGTCCTTCCCAAAAATTTTCTGGAACTGTTGAAAGACATGAGCATAATTAGCAGTCAATCGAGAAGTTGAGGCAGGGACGACGAGCCCGTTTGAATGGAGGCGGTCGATGCCTTCTTCACGGTTGAAGAATGTGTTGAGCTTGGAATAGGTGGCAGTCCCTTGGCATCCCCAAATCCCGGGGTGTCCACAATGTTCACCGGATATTAAAAGCGGGACTTCCTCTGGTGAGGGTAGATGGCGTAGGCCGTGACTGCAAGGGTCTGGCTTCCTTCCTCAGCTGTTGCCTCCATCTGGAATCTAATCATCCTCCCACTCCTCGTCCAGCTCATAGTTCAACGTTCAACATCGCGCTCACCAACGTTCTCTTTCCTGGTGTGTGATAGAAAGTGGCACAGTTGTTATATTGAGGAGCTATTTTTGTAAACACCCGATTGTTGGCATATGTTGATATTCCTTAGAGGCATGCGGAGAAAATGGCACTAAATCTTTCGATTTAGTAAATATTTTATAATATGGAAAGGGCACCACGAAGAATTTAAAAGCAGACTGTGGCATTACTGAGAAGCGATTCTAACCCCAGTCTCACTATATCTAATAGGACTCCATATTCCATGTACGTACTCATGAGGAAGAAGTGGATAATGTATTGATGCGATACACATTCAAACGTAGGACTTGCGGTTTGAGGCGTATGTGGCAATCTGGGGCCACGATCAGCAAAGCTGGCTGAAAATACGATTTAGATGATCATGAAAATTGCACGAATGTTTCTAAGAACGTAAACACCTTCTTGAATGAAGACCTTATTTTAGACTTGGAATGCCGTCCCAGAGGCGCCAGAGGCATGAATCTACATTTCTGAAAAATCGAGCTTATATGAAGTAAGTGTTCCAAATACAAATTTTCGTGTCTTTTGAGTATTTTTATATTTCCTAAACGTACATATGAAAAAGCTTATACATTTCAATTCTGATTTTTTAAACGCATAAACATCCTTGCGTTTCCTGACATAAAAAAATGCATATTTGCGTCTCTCAAAAATGATATGCGTTTTCCACTCGTCTCCTTCATAGAGCAACATAAATTTCACTATTGCAAGGAAGTCATTACTCAAATTTCATGTCGCATGTCATCCTTGTGCGGGAGTAGAATAATAAAAACAATTCCTGGAAGTAATTATGCTGATTTTACTTATTCAGCGATTCAAATTCTTAGTTAAAAGTTTAAAAAAATCTTATTAATAATACCCCGCTCCGTCACCTCTTGTGATCCCATGGCTGATTTCCTGGGCACAGTGAAATTGAAAACACTGAAATCGAATGAGGTAAGAGGGAAACGTCTTCATTCTTTTCCGAAAATATTTTGGGATCAAAGGATATGTGAATCTAAACACAAATCTGAAACCATCATCCTCCCCGTGAGGAAACAGGATCCGAAAAAGAATTTGCTTCTCAGAGGTGCGACAAACCACTATTAAGAGAGGATTTTCATCGGGATCAAGTGACTGAGTTAGAGATGGGCCTTCGCTAGTATCGCTTGCCCATTCTTCCAGAGTTGAGACATCAAGCCAATACCCCGAGTCATTACGTCACAAAGTCATCAACTTTGAAAATGTGATCAATGCTTCCTGTAGGCACATCTCTACATGTTTAGAATAGAGTGGCATTTTGATGCAAGACACTAAGCCATCGTTTTCATGACTTGGGGCTGTCACATTTGACTTTGTTCGTGTCAGATATGCATAGCTAAGTCCAGCATTTGACAGGCCTGTCTAATGATTTTTCTCATGACTTTTGACTGTCACGCAGGGCAGTGCCAAAATTGAACTTCCTCGTCACATTTGTGCACTGTACATCGTTGTTGGGCTTAGAAAACTTATACTTGCGATCCATAGTTATAATTATCATTGATCTGATATCAAAGGTTGCTAATAACTGTAAGGACCCTCTCGCGTTGTCTCAATAGTGTCGAGATTTGGATGATTCTCCTAAGTCAGTCATTCATTCATTGGAATTACGGAACTTGCGCGTCAAGACTTGTGGGTCCGCTTTTCTCGGCTGATAGCTGTAAAAAGATTCGAAGTTAAAATAGTGAGTCATCTTGTCAGAGTTGTCAGAAATGTAAGACAAATACTGAGAAATATGAGGTGCAAAGCCGATAGGTAGTGGTTAGGTGGTAAATTAAGTGTTTGAGTTAAAATGTGAGGATTTCTGGGGAATCAGTTTAACCATTGGGTAAATTATATGTGCACGGGGTGGAATGGACCGAACTCCAACAAACAAGTCACCGGTGCCGGTGTTCATCTATAGCGATGTGTTTTCTCTCCGTATCGCAGGCGAGATAAGGCTGAGAACTAAAGATGCCCTGTATGTTATCATTCCAGCCTCTCGCAGTGGAGAACATGGAGAAATATGTGAGGCTGAAGTTCCGTGAGGATGAGACGCAAGTGTTGGTGAGAGATTTGGAATCTCTCTGTCAAGCGGTCAGGCACGAATTCGGTCTCCACTGCCAGACCTTCCACCTCTTCTATCCTGATGGAGAATCCCATCCATTGACAACCTTAGAGGCCTTGAAGAACGCCTCAGATCCAGTCGTGCGCGTCATAGTGGATGAACCCCTTCCAAAGACCAGATCTATTGCGCCGGCATCCACCAACCATGGGACGCCAGGGTGAGTTTAGAACTGATTTTAAAAGAATCAGTATGTCTCAGCCAATCGCAGGTCTAATTTGTCTAGTTTTTTTTAGAAAAACCACGTAAACCTGTTCCAGATGTAGATATGAGTATGCATATAATGTATTCATCTACATCATGGTTGAGTAGTGTGGAAAACTGTTCCCAGGACCGTGCTTGGTCCGTAAACTGATGCTATCTCGAATAATGACTAGCATAGATGATGCTAGTCACTCGAATGTAATTTTCAATGTCGGCAGTTTGTCGAAAACCTACTTACACTTGAAATGCATAATTTTTTGCTTACTGAAGCAGGACAGGGACATCGCATGGAAACAAAGCTAAGAAACAAGATTTCATTACCATGTAGGATACGGTAGCTTACATCATGGCACCGGGTGCTTCAAGGTCCTAAAGATCAGTTAAATATGAAAATACGATTGACTCAAAAGTTTTGGCGGAAAATCATCTCCAAAGAGAGGAGAGCACTTTTTTATTCCCACGAAGTTCATGTGGGATCTTCCTTGAGAAGCTCTAACACTCACCAGGAATGACTCGTAACAACGACGATTGATTTGTTATCGAACTTCTCATGTGAAAAGCTTGTTTGTTCCAGTAAAACCCAGATGGCAGGGCTGCGGCTCGTTCACTTCCTAAGCTTTTTATTTCTATACTGCTTTCGGATTGAATTGGTACATCCTCTTATCATGAAGAACAAATACTAAATTTGCAAGCATTCGGATATGTCAAGCCTGCTGTCTTGCACGGTTGTCGGATTGCCGGTTATAATCGGGCATTTTGTATCACCAGTGAGAAGAAAATACGCTTTTATTCTCTGGAAAATAAAACGCGCGTGTGGAAAACCTATGGAAGGAAATTCTCCAGCTCTCAGGATATCGCGTTTCCTTGGTAAAATGGTGTACTATCTTCGAACACCTCTGCATGAAACCGAACATTGTCTGCGCGAAGATAACTGGAGCTCGCAGGCCCCTTAGCATGGAGTAGTTCCATGAATCGTGACCTCTCGCGGTAACATTTTATATGATTTTCGCTAGTATCAATCGAAAACATCAGGATGGCTCCATGCATCGAATGCCTTTTCGTGTCCCTGTTTTCGGTCCTTCTCATCATTGGAAGACACTACACAAACGCAGGAAATCACGTTCGGTCTCACAGGAAAACGATCTAATGCTACAGACACAGGAGCGATGAAAGAAATCGTCGCCAACTGCAGCTGCGAGACACTCAACTCTGCCTCCAGTGTCTAACCTCCATTATTCCCCCTTTCCCTGTCCTAGGAAAAAGCTCTTTTTTTTGCTCTCGTTTCTCCGCTTCTATCTAATATTGATTGTTTCTATCTATAATATGTTTATATTTATCATAATATTCTTTGTTTTACTCTTTTATTGGTTGACTTCAGCTTGGCGTCAGAAACCCAAACGTCCTTGATAAAAATTGCATTCCACGAGGAGATCCAATCCTTATGGCCCTGATACACGATGCAAGTTCTTGCCAGCAAGCTCACAAGGACTTGTCAACAGGTTTGCCTCGTCTATACGCGACTTGCGTCGCTCTAGCAAGTCCTGGCTTCGACTTTCCCCTTGGTTTAAAATCCTAGAAAGCCTTTAAGCAAGCCGCACTTTGATTGGTCTGGAAGTCCCCGCAAGAACCAATTGGCATGAAGCTCATGGCGTCCCCCACACTTTGTAGGAGCTATCGAGCCTTTTGGTTTTGGATGGAGCGGTCTTGGTACTCCTTCATCTTAACATTCCAGAGGCAAGGTCGATCACGGAAGCCGGTAATAAGGGCTTCCGTGGCTTCAAGGAAGAGCTGTGGCGCCATGTCACACGAAATTATGCCTAAATCGTGGTCTGCAGGAATACAAAGACAATGACCCACGAAAGATCTCTCTGATGTCTATTAGCATGTGCGAGTTTTCGCTCTTTTCGACTTCGTTTCACAGATGCTTGACAACCTTCGAGCAAGTGGAGGCAAGTCCTTGATTCGTGTACACACTCGCTTGCTCCTTGAAAGCAAGAACTTGCCTCGTGTATCGAGGCCCTTGGCATGCGAAATTCTCATTGTGGCACCCATTATGTCCCAAGCCTTGTTGCCATGGAGAAACAGCCAAAACTATCATGATGATATGGTCAGATGCATTGGTCAGATCTGAATCATGAGTTGATCATGAGGCGGAGAGGTTCAAACCTAAGCAACCTTGCAGGGCTCCACAGATCGGGAATTATAGACCCATGGAGGATTCTTCCAAATACTTCCATCAGCAAGAATCCAAGCAGCATCTTCATATTAATATTATTTTAGTCAGCAGCCCGTGCAAAAGCTCAGAAGAATTTAGACTATGAATGCGAACATGGCCACATGGGGATGCGGCCGTCACCCCCCCCCCCCACCCCCTGAATCCCCCACTGGCTGCCAACGTGAGAAGACAGAGTGCGGCAAAAACACTCTTAATTTCTGAAAGGTCTGCCCCTGCGCTTCGTTAATCGTCATGGCAAAGGACGGGAACTAACGCCGAGAGAAGACGAAGGGCATCCCAAAGATCAAGACGTTAACTTCGAATCGTAATTTTGTAGGACAATGGTGTATGTGGGCTTTTATTAGCGGCTGCACGCTGCTCTGCGGACATCGCAAACCCGCCGCACACGTTTCTGAAAGTTATTGGTCTTTGGCCGCGCTGCGTGAACCATTACTATGAGTGTGGAAGAGCACACGCGATCGCGCTGTGCGCAAGCATGTGTCCTGTGTGTGCGCGCGCACACGACACCGGCCACCACCACCATCACCACGGACCACAGTAGATATATCAATATTATGTAGATACCGATGTGAATTTATTACCCACGTTATTTTCATTTTAGGCAAACTGTTATTAACATTCTTGTCAATATGTTTCCAGGCGTAAGGTTTGATTAGATACCATAACACGCTATGTAGTCATACATTAACACCGGAATGACACTCCAGATATCCATGAAATAATTATATATTATTACGTTATATTACTTACTAAATGCTTAAAGATTAATTGTGCATTTTTGTACATCGTGAACAAATTTGTTGCTGTCAGGCTAATGTGAAATTAGTCTTGGGAAGTTGCAGAGATCATTTGAATTTCACACAATAAGTTTTTGTACAGTGCATATTGATACATATTGATATCAAGTTGATATTCAACATGTGCCTTAGGAAGAAATCGTTCAGTTTAATAAAAGCTTTATGGTCTGAAATTCCATATGGATGGTGTGATGATTTTCTAAAGTTCGTATAATGTACGTTATATCAAATGAAGTCATGCCTAGGCAATATGAATTTCACATCCACGTTGGTGGTATACATAATAGAAGCGTAAATTTTAGGTGTCGATGTCTGTCCCATGGCACCCATGACATCAGAAGACGTGATAGGCAGAGCGAAGTCGCTTGTGTAATTCATTCACGAGAATTAGGAGGATTACGAGGGCGGATATCCCTTGAAGATGACGAACACAGTGGACGGCCATCGAAAAGCCGTAATGAGGAAACTATGCGCGCCCTTTCTGAGCTTGTTCGCAGCGACCGCCGGCAGACACTCATTTCCATGGTAGTACCATGGCATACCTAACCACTTGTCATTAGCCTGTGCAAAAGCACGGAAGAATTCAAGAGCAATGAATGCGAATGGGGGGGGGGGGCCGGTCGCCAACCCTCACTCCCTGTATCCAACATTGGCTGACCATGTGAGAAGACAGGGTGCTGCAAAACCACCCCTAATTTCTGAAAGGTTTGCCCCTGCACTTCGTTAATCGTCATAGCATATATCGTGACGATTTACGAAGGACGGGGAACTGACGCCGAGAGATGACGAAGGGGAGCCCAAAGATCAAAAGTTAGCTATGAATCGTCGCTTTGTAGGATAATGTGGTATTTGGGCTTTTATTGGCGGCCTCACGCTGCTTTGCGGGCATCGCCACCAGCCGCGCACGTTTCCGAACGTTGGTGGCCAAAGGCCATGCTGCGTGAACCCATTATTATGGCTGTGGGAGGGCGCACGCGATCGTGCTATGTTCACGCGTGTGTCATAGTGCGTGCTCATGCCACCGACCACCACCACCACAGTAGATTTTATTATAAAGATTGTTCACGCTCATAGTTCGCGCGTTTGAAGGTCGATCCAGGAACTTTTTGATAAGCCCATGTACAGCCAGAAAGTTTGAGGCAGGTTGCAAAAATGAATCTTTTTCAAGAAAAAGACCAAAAAATGTAACGCTCTTTTTTCGGGCGAAATGTAAATGATTAAGCATGGTTTTTATTAGTCGAAATTGTTCTTTTGTTTGTTATAAAAAGAAATGTTTTTTTAAGACTTGCGAAATTTCCCCACCTGCCTCAAACTTTCTGGCGGTACTGTATGTTGCACATTCGTTTGATAATATGCTATACAGTACAGTATTATGTGATACGAGGTAGCCTGATAATACGCTTTCCAAGAAAGTTTGTGCTGCTCCGAGCTAAGCTGCTTATTCCGGATATCTAGGGAAGGAGGGAAAACGAAGGAAAGAGCGATCGTGACCCTGAAGGAAAGATGGAAGATTGTGGAGAAGAAAAATGGGATGCAAATCCATGGCATCCCGACCAAGATTACCAGCTTAAGGGACCAGGAATTTGGGAGGCTCCGAATTTCTGAGATCGGAGAGTCTCCCATTCCAGGGCGATACTCCCCGGGCAAGGTCCTCTTCCTAATCGGAGCCACAGGCGCAGGTATGTTCTGTAGAAGTACAAACGATATGCCATCTGCTCAATGTGAATATGGTTAATCGTTGGAGAATAACTAGACTGTATACAGTCTTGTCATTCTTGAGTCTCTCCGCTTTTGAATTGCTCCGATCGCCCCTCCTTAACCTTCGTTCGAGCAAGTACAGTCCCAACGCTTCTCGTATGATAGTCCCTTAACCTCCTTAATCATTCTTTTGGCCCTCCTCTGTACTCCCTCGAACGCCAACAAATCGCCCTTATTTGTAGGCCTCCAAAACTGGATGCAATATTCCANGCCGAGTCGGATTCCACAGTGAAAACGGAAGCGAAGAACTCGTTAAGTATACTGGCCATATCCTTATCACTTGCAATCAACTCCCTCTTTTCGTTCATTAGCGGCCCGATCGACTGTTGACACCTACCACTAGCATACTGATAAAAAGCCTTAGGGTTCTTCTTAGCATCGCTAGCCAGCCGTTCCTCGACCTCCCGTCTCGCAGATCTAATTTCCCGCTTCAACGTCCGCGTGATCCTCCTATATTCCTCATGGTCCGTGCTAGGGCGTGGGTTACGACTTGATTCTTCCGATCTGTTCTAGTTTTTACATCTAGCAATCATGTGCTATCAAATAGGCCATCCAAATTGCATGATGATGTGACTAGAATGGCCTCTCTGAATCCCAGCGGGAGCCTATTTACTTTCATCAAGTCTCTGTACAATACTGAGGACTCTTCCAGGAATCTCAACAGGGCGATGAAAGAAAGATGGTTGTCCTGCCTGCTCCTTCTTACCACCCACGTTTTTTGGCTTAATAGAATTTCAACTGAACTGCCACATGGTCAAGTTCATACATTTACTTCACGTAATGACGTAAAAATTGACAATCACTCAGAGAAAATTGTCAAAGTTGTTCGTATAGGCTGCAGTGACCTCTGAGACACATCTAAAATTCTCAACAACGCGTAGAACTCAAATGCTTCGCCGCTTTCCTCGATTCAATACGTAGAAGGTACGAAGAAATTAACACAGCAGAGCATCGTTGATGCCTTTGGAAGGCCTCCAGGAAAGGAAGTGGGCAGAGCAGGGAACTCATTCCAGGAATATTTGCAGATGTGCTTCAGAGATCAGCAAGAAATTCGAGTGCCATCGACCACTTTTCGCTATCATCGATAGTTATCACTATACTAGAAGAGTGATACCTATTATTATCGCTATAGCAGGAACTATGATGAACGAGTATCGTATTAAAGGTCATATGATTTCATACTTGAAGTTATACAGGGTATACCTTTAAGACCCAGTTTTAAAGACAATTTTAAAATATAATATTGTGACAGATATATCGTGCATAGAAATGAGTTAGGGAAGCAAGAATTTGTCTAGTTCGTCTGACTTTTTTTTAATCCTGTCAGACCTGGCGTCCATTCCAATGGACATTGCATTTTCACTGTGTCTATGGTAATTTCTTGGAATTCTCGTGATTTTTCACCCCCAAACTACACTACAATGGGTGCAATTATGCACGGCTCAATTCCATCGGAGGCCTTCTTTCACCCGTCAGTTTAGTAATCTTCAGTTATTTAATTAAATGTATCTTATATAATATCTTATATAATATTACTCGTATATATAAAAACGATATATAGGACATAGAAATTTAAAGCACAATAGCAAAAGAACTGAAAAAACGCAAAAAAGTACGGTATTTTTTTTCGAAAGTGGCCTTAATTCAGGTCCGAAGGGTTAAGCCGCCACTCTTTGAAAAAAAGAAATAAGGCTGTTCATGTGCCCCAGTCGTCAAGACCAGTAAATTCGGGAATGATTTCGGGTTTATGGAATAAAAAGGTTCCATGGAGATGAAGTAAATATGTACGGGCCACCGTTTGTGAAAACAAGATTCTTTTGATCTTTTGATCCAGGAATCTGTCTCGAATATGAGAATAATGAATGAGGAAGTGTCCGTGTTTATTACTATAAGGCAAGGCGAAACGCAGGACAAGGTGACATAACATACATTTGAGAGAGATTCCCCGGGAAAGAGGGAAGAACTACTCTATGTGCTGTGGAAATAGTAGCACCATAACTCCATCTAGTAGTCTAAGAGGGAGCTTTACATCGCACAAATAACCATTGGAAATGGTGTTTCACCGTCATCTATACATTTTCTTCTGTTTGACCCGGAAAGGTTAAAACCTGAACTCTGATCGGTAACATCCGATTTATATTGGTTAAGAACGATCTCTTTGGGAATAAATATGCAGCCTTTATAAATTTATTTATTCCTAAATAAATATGCAGCCTCGAAAAGGCTGCATATTTATTCCCAATTTAATTTATTTATTCATTTTCTTGATGATCTATTTGAAAAAATTTCTGAGATAGTTGATAATTGCAGGGCTTATATGCAGGGCCCTTTTTCATTCATTTGAGGGTTTTACGAAAGTGAGAAACTGGCTCATCTTTGGGGTGCGTCAAGAGTCATGTCTTTTAGAGCATATGCACATGCCAGATCAATGACAGTCCAACAACCTGATACATATGGACCATCTTGTACATGCACTACTTTCCCTTGCTTCTAAAACAATGCAATCACTTCACAAGAATTCATCGCATTTAAAATGAGCATTCAATTAACACTTTACATGGTTATTCACCGTTATCTAATCGTTTTTACGGTTTATCCTTCACCTAGGTTAAACTCCGAACCCTTTCTGCTAACAGTGTATCATGACAAGCTTTAAACGATGTTAGCGGGAATAGCATTACTTCTATCATAAATGCACAACATTTTCACAGCACCATACAAATTTGTTCAACTTGACCCATCGATGGTGGCGTAGGTAGTGGTACCTCTCGTTTTCTGACTTGTAATGATGCTCACGCTCACCGTCTCCTGCCAATCTCTTGTGTGTTCTTCCTCTTTCTGTTATACTTCGTATTTTCTCTTCATATACCGCGATATTTCGCCTGTGCCATCTTTACGGAACATTCAAGGATAGTTGCTCTGCTCAAACTTCTCAAGTTCATGAAACTGCAGTTGTTTTGTTTGCTTTTTTAAAAGCGCAAAATGCATTCAACGTAGACACTAAAGGTACTCTAAGAGCAACACTTCAAATTGTTGAGAAAATGTGCCCAGGTGGCTGAGTTCTTTTATTTTTATCGTGCATTACATCACTTTTAAGGAAAGACGACGTTGATGAGCGCGATGGTAAACTATGTTTTGGGCGTGAAATGGGAAGACGACTTCAGACTCCGCCTGATGAACACCGATGAACGAGAAGAGGACCCAACATCGAGTCAGACAGACTCCATTACGGCCTACACCATACATCCCCTGGCTGAGAACGAAAACGTCATGCAGACTCCATCCAGTATAACCCTAGTGGACACACCGGGGTTTTTGGACACACGGGGCCTGAAAGAAGACCGAACCTTGATCCGACACATTCACAGGTTCTTCACCAGATGTGTGGACTGCCTCCACAGGATCGGGATCGTGATCCCGGCCACCACGACCCGTCTTACTGCTTCCCAGAGATTCCTATACGATCAAATACTCTCTCTGTTCGGTCAAGATGTGAAAAACCGTTTCGTTCTCCTGTCCACGTTTGCAGACCACGCCGAACCTCCAAACCTGATAGCTGTGATGCAGTCTGGGATATCGTACCGAAGTTCGTATCAGTTCAACGCTGGGTGTTTATACTCGAAAAGCCAGGGGAAATCTGGGATGCAAGAGTTGCTGTGGAGAATGACCATGGACAACTTGCAGCTACTTCTCAAGGATCTACTCTCTTCGGATCCCATTGGCCTGGAACTCACCCGCGAGGTTTTAGTGAATAGAGAAGTGTTGGAAAAGGCTATTGTGAGACTCCAAAGGGAAGTCAGTCTCGGTAAGAACTGGATTTTCTCGTTTCAAAATTGAAATTTTCTAAACAACACGATTCAATTACACTCATGACAACATTAAAGTCGTTACTGGTTATCGTACTTGGACATTTTGACTTTTTGTGTTCATCTGTCTCATTTGATTCAGTCATGTCTATATTTTTATTCTTAAATTATTTATTTGCATGATTTTCTTTTCACCACTTTCTACTCAGTTTCTATTCATCCTTTTTAATATTTACAATTAATTTGCTGTTAATTATTTAATTCTTGTTTCACATTCGTGTACACATCAACCCTTGTCCGATTTGCTTACCAAGAACAATAAATGAGCATGCCAACCACTTATTTACTTAACATGCACTTAAAATGCACTTATTTACTTGCATTTCCTCAATAGAGAATCTTCCAGAGATCGTTTCATCGCTATCTCTTCTGAGTTTTTAATTAGATTGTTTATAGCCCGTGTATACTTTTTCCAGGGTTACACAATGATGTATCTCGCACTCCTCCACTTTCAGGCATGTCGAAGCTGGAAGATCTAAAATGCAGATACGAAGCCATAAGGCAACACAGGAAGAGGAGGGAGGCTGAGAAGGCTTCTATGTTACAAGTGGCTCACGACTTCAAAGTGAAACAGTTGCAAGTTTATAACCTCCTCCGTCGAGCCCATCAGAGCTTGCAGCGACTGGACGAGATCGCCCTGAAGCGTGACCCCCTCACATTGGTCAACTTCATCGATCTTCTCCTCCAGAACGAGAAGAATGAGAAACGTCCCGGTTGGGAAGTTAAAGTTGGCGCCTTGCGGAACTACAGGGCAGCGGCATTCTGGATGGCCTCGTTGAAGACCTCTGGCACTGACGTGGATCCCTTCAAGCATGAACTGGGGAAGTTGGAGGCTGCCGGGCTAAAGATGGTCTCATCCAATGACACGGAATCAATTTCCTTGGAATTCCTCGATACTCCAAAGGGATTTCTGCAGTCCATCAGATCACTACTCTCTCGAAAATAATTACACCAATCCCCCACTAGCAAATACTGCCAACTGAAGATCATGAGTTCAGAGTGAGGCGAGAAGTAGTGTAGAACAGACAAAAACAAAAGCGGAAAATCTGTGCTGCTTCCAACATAGGTACAGGGTGTCCCATAAGTCCCTTTACTCCCATGTTTTCTTTAGGTGAATTGCGGTAAGGATTTGTGTAGGTGGCGGAAGATATGGGTGACCAAAACCACTTTACATCGTCCAACGAGTTTTATTATATGTCCCAATAAGTGGAAAAAATATATTTAAAAAACTAAATGCCTACGTTTCATTTTGCTACCTTATTCTACAGGGTGGTCCATTTAAATGGAACCCTAGGGAGGAATAAAAACTGAAAAGACTATTAACATTTATTTATAGTATTGTATAGTAATTCCTATTCAAAACATAGTGATTGCCATTCCTTTATACTTGTGAAGGCGTGTGGGCATAAATGTACACGCGTGTTCCCTTGCATTCAAACGCATGTAGATGCATGCAGACGCATGCGTGTCGAAATCGCATGCATCACTCGCTAAGTATGCGATGGCCTTTAGGCATAAACTTTGACCATAGTATGGGACATTTTCAGCAAATTCCAACAGGCAAGCAAGTGGTCTCGGCTGAGGAGCCCTTCCGACTATTATCCAAAAATGAGATTTGTCAATATACTTGTACGGAGTACATCTTCGAAATGCAGCCAATTACTTCCCAGAGACCGCAAATGTGCCCAATAAAATACACAAATAATCCAATTAATAGAAATCTTGCTAGTACTTTCACAGTACACAGAATTTTCGGAAATCCAATTTTAAAAAATTTGAATATTAACCTTTATCGGATGGATTTAAATTTTCCGCGGAAGCGCTGACAGCTAGATATTTTCTACGAAGCCCGTAAACATTCACTAACTGAGCAACTTTTCATTTAATATCAGAGCATTTTTTCCGAAAAAGCTGCGGTACAGTATTTATACCGTTAGGCCATGGAAAAATGAATACTGTGGCACAGCAGTTGCAACATTCGTCCGATAAAGGTTAATGTGCAAATAAATATACGCACTTTTGATAAAGGTTAAGGAAGTCACTTGGAATCGTGTGTGGAAAAATCAATATTGCTATCTTAAATTTCAGGCTGGATTTCCGGGGGATTTTCCAAAATCCCAGACTGGGTTTTCGACTTTTTCTCAGCCTGCATGGGAATTGCATACCGTACATTTTTCCCAATTATCTTTCTCGTGACTATGCAACATTTGCCTCTCCCGTACGCAAAACTCCTGACGGCCGTGCCAAAACCACATGGTATTTTCGATCCCTAAGAGCAGAAATCTGCCCAAAGGGGGAATTCCATGCCAAAGGTGGAATTCTCCACCACTGGCATGAATTAAAAATCTAATTATAATCTAAATTATTATCATTCATGGCCAACATTTCGTGAAAATGAGACTCGATAACAATTTCACAGATGTAACAATTTGCAGGTTGAATTGAAGGTGGGAATTGTTTTAAACAGTATGCATTTTGCATTTAAACATGACTCTCCGGAACATTCGAATGTAAAACTGTTTTTCTTTTATGGTTCTACACATTAATGAATACTTTCCAATGCCAATATTTCGAAGAACTCTTGAAGAACTTTTGCTCCAGAGTTCGATTGCATTACTTTTCCCTCAACTTGTCATATTCCATATGATTCACTGATTGTGTTAGAATTTTGGCACTTCTCTCCTAGCTCATCCTTTTCTTTCTACATGTCTCGTGTTTGTTGCTTTGCTGATGATGCGAATATGTACCATGTGATTTTTAAGCCTTAAAATGAGAGAAATACTATTGAAACATACTTCAATTGTCAGTCGATTTATTTATAATAATAAAAGGCATGTGACAATGACATAGTGTTCTCATCACAAGGTAGTTTGTGATCAGAAGAGGGGGGAAAATAACGAAAAATACAGCGTCATGAAACAGAAACCAAAATATTGTATGATAAGGCAAGAAAGAAAGGTCATTCGGGGTAAGTGTAATCAGTTCTAATTTTTGGTACTTACAAGTGCAATATGCCATCAGCGAAGTGTGCACTTAGAAGTACTCTGTCACGCTATTCCAGCTTTATATATACAGAGAGGGACAAAACTGTAACAATGTTCGACACATTGCCAGTTTATGACTCATATCTCGAGTATGACGTGTTCAATTTAGCTTAAATATCAGTCAATCATACTCCTACTTCCTGACTTTCGATTGGCGCTAGTCACATGTCAATTGGCCTCCTATTGTCTAAGTGGCAGTTGTTCAAAGCGAACGAGGTCATNGTAACGTGTTATCTGAGATCTTCAGTTCACATTAATTCGTAGCCCGTGGCCTGTAGTCCGTAGGTAGTTCAATCCTCCCTTCCTTGGTTTTTGGGCCCCTAATAATGTGACTCTCCTTCGTCTAGATTGCCTCTTTGCAAAAGTCGTATTTTGGAATTTTAACGTCTACCCCTTTGTCGCCTGTGGGGAAAGTTCAAAGTCCCGGTGAAAAAGTTAATCTCGTTCCTATCGTAACAAGTCTTGCTTATCTAAACGATTGAGACGCCACCTGACTTCTGCTGTGGGGACCTTCCCAATTAACACTATCGGGTGGAACAAGTCAATCAGACCTATGCCAGTTTAAAATACTGTACTTCCTTAGAATGGAGTCAGAAAAAGATCGTCAAGGTCGGAAGCCACCTAACCCTTACAAAATGTCCAACTCCCATTTAGATTTGGAATCAGGTGGATGTTCCTCTAGGCGTATTTCCACCTGTTGGAGCGATGCTGTCGCGAGTTTGTTGGGAAATAGGTTTCATGTTGCCAGAAACGTTCAAATGGAACCCAACCCCACCCAAGCCTACCACATCTACACCTAGGCAAGCTACAGGCTTGCTTAGGTGGCTTCTGACCAGGTTTCATTTGGGAAATGGGAGACTGTGGGGTTTTTTTTATATCGTGGATGGAAAGCGTGGGACGTAGGGACAACACTGTTGCAATGACCTGGTTAGCTTTCAACAGCTTCAGCTCATCCAATAGGGGGCCAATTGACATGTGACTAGGACCAATCCAAAACCAGGAAGTTGAAGTATGATTGACTGAAATTTATTTAAAATTGAACTCGTCATACTCGAGTTATGAGTCATAAACTGGCAATGAGTCGAACATTGCAACAGTTTTGTCTCTCACTGTGTAGTCAAATTTCACTGGATAATATAAGAGATATCCATTCCATCCATCCATCCATTCTTACTACAGTATATTAGAATACGCTAATGAGATTCAAAGTAGGTGTAGCCTCTGACCTATAAAGCTTTTGCCACTCAAGGACATAGGCTAGGTAGTCCCTGGAGCTACATGCCTTTGCTTTTCCGGATCATAGGCTTGGTAGCCGATAGGCCTAGGAGTCTTATCCTTGCCATGTCATAGGCTAGGTACGTTTCGTGATTCGTCCGTGCAACTGATTTTGCCTATAAGACTTTTCCTTTTGCAGGTCTTAAACTGAGTGGGATTTGTTAAACAGCGTGACAATATCCGATTTGTTGCGCCCGCATAAGAATAGCGGCGAGACTGCGTAGGTCTCCACTGACCTGTGAGCAAAATTGAAGATGTCATAGCCGAGAGGAGAGGTGCATTAATTGCAGAGCAACATAAGGCTGTTAACGCTGCGCAGAGAGCAGAGCGCGTACGCAGCAAACCTTTAACCATACTTGAGTTGTGTTGGCTTGGACGTTCAAAGTCATTCCAGTCGTTTCGTATGATCGCGACCCTATGAATGTGGAATGCTCTGTTCAGCACTGCCAGCCTTCATTTCGAAGCGGAGAAAGGCAAACTTCGGCAAGGTTAACATCCTTAATTATGTCACGACGTTCCATTCGAACCCATTGGAGTTTCCGCCGATTGGGAAGATGAAAACGCTCGCAATATTCGTGAGTTTAATAGACAGTACAACAGCACAAACGCGTCTGCTTCCTTTCGGGGCAACAATTGTTGACGTGACCGATAATGGTTCTTACTGCTTCTAAACATCCGGTGAGGTCTACAGGGTGATCCATATGAACTCATCGTGGGTTTACCAGGCGATTATATTTCAGATAATATGGTGAACGAGCTGTTTGGCCAACGATATAGGCTCTGCGATGCCGAAGTGAGAAGCAAACTCGCTCATTCTGTGCCCCAAGAATAAGCACTCCAGTTTGGTCAATGAGGACGTGTCGCCCCGATTGGAAGGCAAATTTTGCTCACATCATAGTACCAAAATTGTGAAGAACGATCATGGTGATGATGACACCGATCGGCAGGCCACCTTTCCGTTAGAATTCTTCAACAATATCAGTATGCATGGTCTCTCTCCGCACGCCTTAATCCTAAAAATTGGATATATCCTGATGCGTGTTCGGAGTCGTATGATTGGTAACGAACTTTGCAACGACACGCCAATGATCGTGAGAGACCTGCCCGCAAATGTCTTAATATTAGGGGAGTTTAAATGAAAAGGGGGCAATGGCTGTTACTCTTAGTTAACCCTTTCAGACCTGAATTAAGGCCGCTATCGGAATTATATATTTTTTGCATTTTTGAGCTCTTTTGTGATTGTAATTGAAATTTTTGGGCTTTTCATATGTAGTTTTCATATTTTGTATAAATTTACCATATCATACCATATATTATATATTAAACATATAATTTAATAACTGAAGATTAAAATACTAATGGGTAAGAGAAGGCCTCTAACGGAACTGAGCCATTCATTATTGCGCCCATTGAAGCGTAATATGGAGTGCAAAGTCACGAGAATCCTAAGTAATTGCCATAAACACAATGTAAATGCAATGTCCATTGGAATGGACGCCAGGTCTGAAAGGCCTAAGGTAGGAAACTAAAAGTCCCCATTTCATTCGAACACCCATAGTAGTTGAGGTGATCATGGATGCGCTTCGTGTCTGCGTTCACTTGCTGCCTAGAGTTTCACTGGACATGT